CCTTCTTCAATTCGGCCGCGAGGTTTGAGGCTTTCGTCTCTCCCTCGGGGCTCCGGACCTCCCACACGAGGGCATTGGTAATGGCCCTACGTGCAGGGAGGTTATTCCGAGCTCCCCTAGGGGGATCGCCGCCTTGGCCTTTCTCATTGCCTCGGCGTACCCCCCGCCGGGGGGAGCGATGACCGTGACCGCTTCGCGGTGGTCGTATCTTGACCGCCCTTGGACGGGGACCCTCAAGATTCTCCCCCCCTGAAGGTTTCCCTCCAGTCGCCCGGTTGCCAGATGGCTTCGCGGCGCGTCCTACCTTTTTCTTTGCGGCGGCGGTGGTGGCTGCTCGGGTGGCAGCAGGGACGGGCGAGGCCCCCTACGGGCCTCTCTCCGTCCCCGCTGCCCGGCCATCACGGTCCACTCTTCCGCAGCGCTGGTCCCCATCTTATCGGCCCCACAAGTAATTCTCCGCGAATCCCTCGTGGCGCCCACCGATCCCGCCCAGGACCGCGGGTCGGCCCGGCCGGCGACCGACGTGCCATCCCGGCTCGCGGCGGGCGCCTGGGCTTTCATCGTCGAGATCCCGTCCGTCCTCCTACGGCGTTTCCTCCTGCCAGTGAGGACGCGTCCTACGTCCCCCGCCCCGATTCCCGGTGGCGACATTTTCTGCCTGTCCTCATCGGGAGGTGACGGGCGAACACCCTGCTCACGATATTCTCCACCACTCTTTTCAGAATATCTGTGTCGCCCCCGTCACCGGACATTCCGGATATCGACGGGGGGACGGTGGTGTTGGCCGCGGCGTACCGGGCATTGTTCGCGGTCCAGTCCATCACCGCGGCCATCTTTTCAACAACGCTTGGATCATCGTCCAGGCGCTTTCTTTTTCCCTGAAGGGGAGGCTTCCACGCCTCGAGGACGCCCTCCGTTATTGCGGGTGGTGGAGTTCCCGCCCGGGACGCGTCCTCACCAGTTCTCGTACTCACGATACGCGTTATCCGACGCGGTAGCGGGACCTCCGCGCGCGCCTCCGAACCGGGTGAGGCCGGCCGGCCCACCGCCCAGTCTGCCGAATTGCGGCGCCGGGCGAGGTGCCTCTTCATTGATTCCAGTTTTCCGCGGAGCTTATCACGTTCCGCGGAGAGCTCCGCGACCTCTTTTTTGAGGTCGCGGAGCTCCCTGGCCATCGCGAAGCTGTCCGCGGTCCCAGAGTCCCGGCTGGCACCCATCGCGTGGGTCCCCAGGACCGCGGTCACCGCTGTCAGCTCCGTCAGGCTGTGGACGATGTCCCCCTTGATGTTCTTTGAGAGCTCGAGCGACTCCACCACCAGGGCCGCCACCGATGGGAGGGGCTGACGGCCGTATTCGACGGCCAGGTTCTCCTTGAGCCGGCGCTCGTTTCGGCGCGTTCGCGGAGGCTTCGAAGGGTCAACAATGAACACATTGTCTCTTCGAAGCCTCTTGGCGATTCTCTCCCTCGCTGCTCCAGCTTATCGCTAGTGAACTGCCCAACGTGCGAGGGATCGATCGCCGGCCTACCCCGCCCCCTCTTGGCAGGCATCGGGAGAGGGGCCGAAGCGTCTCTCGCTTCGGCCCACGCCCCCGACGACGACTCCTCGGGTTCGACCATCTCGCAGTCCGAAGACTGCGAGGTGGTCCTCCCTTTTCCGCGCACCGCGGACTGCTC